AAAAAAATCAAGTTTTAATAAAAATGCCTGAATGGAGAAATCATGAAATTTAATCTAATTCACTAAAGACAGAGACTCATTTAAAGGTACAAACATGTATGTCCCCGTATGATCTTCAGAGGTTTTTCACTGGAATTGTTGGGTCTCTCAAGAAGCAACTGTTTCAGAAGCAATGATGTTTTGAACAAAGACTTTTTAASAGTGCTGCTTCAATTCTCCAACTGCTACTCATTCTATTATGCAGAACTGGGAATTTATAGAAGCTCCTTCTCCCTTGCCTGGCACAGTCTCATTATTACAAATTAATTTCCKGTCAAAAATGTTTTGCTTTTATCTGATGATCCAAAGCAGCTCCTTTGATAGACCAGTAAAAGAATTTAATCATTTATCTATTAAACTCACCCACAATTTAGAAAAGGAAAAATAAGTAGGTAACTGGTTTCTTGTGAGTCTTCGGAGATGAAGTATGTTGTTACAATAACCAGATACTTGGAGTTTGCTCAAATTGATACTATTTATATATTAAGATCTAATTAAACCTTCTAATTTTAAATAAAATCTGTTGGCTGATTTCCCAAAAGCATGTAAGCTCCTATGGACAAGCCAGGTAGTGGGAATCTCTCCAGATTTTTTCCTTACAATAAATATCATTTTGGGAATGCAAACCCAGCTGTGGGAAACAGATCAAAGTTGTGGTCCATGTTTACTAATATGTAACRATATACGTGTGGGATTAGATTTAAACTGAAAGGTGTGCATTTACCTCCCTGCTTTTATTTATTTATGAAAGTGGTGTTATGTTTGTGTTGTGTCAAGTATAGTTTGGTACCGAYGTGATGTGGACTCTCTCCAAGGTTTGAATTCCTCTTTAACTCCAATAAACAGCCTGGTGGCCCCACAAAATGGTTATTGAGAATGACCTGTCTCCAATTAATATGTCACCTTGAATCATAGCCTCACATTAGGAATCCAATGAGCTCAGTCTTTATGGAGCTGAAGTCATGCTGCAAACAACACTCAGATTTGCTATCAAAGTCGAGGCAATGAAGGCTACAGATGGAATTTAGTTTCTTACATTACCAGCATCTCTTTTAATGTAGGAATCAATGACAAAAAATGGAACTCTTTATTTGGACTGTTAATTCTCAGAGCATCTATATGGGTGCTGTAATCCAAACTAAACACTTGTACAGTGAATCATTAATTATATGGGAAATGTAAAATAGGTGGCATAATAAACCAAAACTTTGATTCCATATCCACTGAAGTTTTTCAGATTTAGCCTTTTTAAAAAAAAAACGTTTTGCCACCTATCCTAGTACTATGCCAATGTTAATGATTTTGACACCTTGTTTATTTTAACAGCCCACCCAAAACGAGATGTAATAATCACAGACTCATTATAATGCGTATAAACACATAAATATGGAGAAAATTTCTTTCCCACAGTGTTCAAAAACTCAGACATCTGGGAACTGGAATGAACTAATAGGCCAACCTCCATTTCTCCTCACTCTTAAAAGGATTCGTCAGTCATCTGATTCTTGCTCAATTTTCAACATATAAGAATCACACAGAAATGAAACAGCTACTTACACTATTTTTTTTTATCTTCTACAAATCCTAACTTCATTCTGCATCCATCTTTAAAACATAATCCCTCTTCTCCTGCTGGCACATTATTCTGGCACATTTCATCCAGTCTCCATCCCATGATATCTTTCTTAATCTCTTCTCAGTACAGTTAAGATAATACGATTTGGCTTAGTAAATTTTACTATGCTGCAAGGAATGATCTGTTTCATGAGCAGGGCCCTATGTTCAGCTATCAGCATTTTCATAGTGCTCAGATAAGCACTCACACACGTACAAGTTTGTACAACGTGGATGACAGCCACTACAAACACTCACTAGCAGGATGAATCTAGCAGTCTTGAAAGGTTGAGTCCGGTCTCGAAAGATCTCCTACAATACTGGCATGCTTTGCTTCATATAAGGTTGGCGGTGACATTATTTTGTATGTTTGTTTCTAAATGCTTTGTGAAATAAAATTACTCCACAAATTCTCCTCCTCCAGTATGCTCTCCTCAGAGCCAATTCACCTGAAGTGTTCAAATTGCTGTCAATAGGAAGTGATGAGGTTGTACTGAAAAATTCCAAGGAACTATAACCAGATAAGAGCTTCTTTAGTGGGCACATGCAGTAAAGGAACGATAGCAGCAGTCTGTAATAACTGTCTTTTCTGATCACCATGGGAACCAAATAGAGGTCTGCTTTGCAGAAAACAGATCAGTGGTGACTCACTGACTGCTCGGGAAGCATGATTATTGAGAGGCACTAGGCTGGTGTGGGTGACGGAGTACAATGCTCTGGTGAGCTGCTAAAAAAGCTGATGCCATTTCAACCGCAGTCTGGCACAGTAGAGACTCCTTTGCTAGAGATATAGGATGAAATCAAGTAAATCAGTATTTTGTCACGGTGTTCATTAGACAGGGAGTTCATCTTTCTTCCACTTCATCTTTCTGTGGCTTCAGCCTTGTGTATACTCTGCTGCAAGATGGATTTCACTCGTAGTGAATGAAGTCCTAACTGATCTAGTCCTACTCCTTACTACATGAGATATTATATTGGGCTTTATCAAGGTACAGGTCTACAGTGACCCGATTAGGGAGGGATATAACCCTCGACTGGGGACCCAGAGGTTCCCATGTTTTCATGTGCATTGTGACTTGAATATCATAAAGGACATGGACAGTGTCCTACCTGGACTATCCAGACACTAAGCTCTTGGACCACTACAGCGCAGCTCCGGGTTCTGGTAAGAGGAAAGCAAAGGAAGGGCTCTGTCTCATTGGTGTGATTCAAAGGAGGTCTCTGAGGGGAAATGCTTTGTGCAACAGGACCATAATTTGCAATCCAACAAGCAAGTTGGATTGCTTGTCCTTCTAATCCCAAACTGTAGCTTCATTTCAATGCTTCAGTACACTAGGATTTTTCAAGTTTCAGTTGTCTGAGCTGGGAAATAAAAGATCAAGCTGCCAGAAAATCCCAGATCTGGGATCTTGAGCTTTTAAAGCCTGAATGCACTACGTGTTAGTTAACCTGCTCTCAGAATAAAAAGATCCCTCCTCTGCTCTGGCTGGAGAAAGAGTGACAACTACAAATGACATGGCATCACAACATCAACACTTATATGTTGCATTTTTAATAAATGGYAATGTTGTATTTTAATAAATGGCAATTCAAGAGGCTTTGACAAACTTAGAATATATTCCTTAATAATATCTCTGTCATTCAGTAACTTCCCACATGGAATCGTAAATAACTTCCAAAAATACCATCACTACACAGCTTCCAGCTGTATACAGGGTTTCTTTTATGTTCCTCCTATTCACAGAAATACCCATACACTAGAGGTTTTGAAAGAGTAGATATACTAATTTCTTCATGTGCTCTCATTAACAACAGCTGAAGAAATGGAATGAAGAAGCTGAAGAATGGAAGCTGAAAAGGAATTTTCAGGACAAGAAACATAGTTCCTTACATAAAACTTGGTCAAGATGGAACACGATGTCCTACCATACCAATTGTAGATATCTAGGCCTTTGGAAAAACAAAAGACAAGATCCCATAAATCTATGAAAAGGATATGGTCCGAGATCCTCAGCTTGGTGTACAGCCAGGCATATCATAAAGGAATGCAAAGCTAGTGCAGAGGCTCTGGATCAACTCTACTAATAAATTAAAGAGAGCAACTCTACTAATAAATTAAAAGGGCAACATTGTAACGTACTCCATATTTCTCTGCAGTTCTGGATAAAGAAAACGAAATGGCATTAAACAGGAAAAAGTGCCCTTTATGACAGACGAGAATTGGGTAGGATTAAAGATCACCTCTTTCTTTCCTGCGCCCCTCTATGGGGTTCAGATGTCAGTAGTAGATCAAGTGCTCATTGAGCTTAGTTCCATGCACCTTTTTGATGACATGGAGAAGAGAAATGGGCAAATAATTATGCACTCCTGTTGGCTTTCTGGGCACTAGCTGAATGATTGTGTATGCCAGGCTGACTAGAGGTTTTGTTTGTTTGTTTGTTTGTTTCCTTTGAGAAAGGCAATCGCTATCAGCTCAAACACGGGCCTAATTGCTCTGTGCTAAATAAACTTGTGCTTTGCACATTTTTTAGACAGCAGCGACTTGGTATAGCATGTGGGGTGGAAACTACACTTTTATGTCATGTTACACAAGTAATATACAGGCCTGCAACACTTATTATCCACTGCTCTTATCCACTTCTCTTCAGATTGGCTTCTGCGAACAAGACTTTACAGGTATCATTTCACTCATACATATATATATATATGTGTGTGTGCGTATATATATGATATTTTAACACTACCTCTTCACCTTCAAAAATGTAAAGTTTTTGTAATCTTTGCTGTAAGATGAAAGTGTTGAGAATGAGCTGCATATTGGTCTCCGGGACCTGAAAGTAGGAAAGTATTGATAAACCAGGCAGCAGAGTYTCGGAGAGCATCAGTAATTAGCATTACAAGCTATAGTATAAAACAACCGTAAAAAGGACAAGCATGGAATATTTTAGMAATACTACTTTCTGTGAGCCTGGTACAAAATAAATCCAAGCTTGTTTTAAAGCCAAAGCTGCAAGTTACTAGAAATCCTGGCCAATAGTTGTTCATTAGTCTTAACAGATACTAGTGAGACTCTCAGGAATGTCGTGGTTCTCAACATTTCACTTCACATCCAAAAGTTTCTAGCTTTCTGTATTTTAAAATCAGTCATTAATCTACTGAAATTATATTTTAAAAAGAGTTTGAATAAAGAATTATGCAAAATGCTTTAATAATTTAAATACATGTTCAGCCATATGGAAATGTACAATTTGTTTTATGTTGCTGTGGGAAACTTACAGTTGTTATGAACTTAATGATTTTTAAAACCACTCATCCATCATTTAATACAACAAAATGCTGCAGTAATAAGAAAACACATTCTGCCAAACTTGAGATGCTTAGAGAATTGGGTACACAAACATTGATCAGAACTCCTCTATGATTCACAAGCTCTGACAGTACCACCAGGTCTTTCTTACACAAGGAAATGTCATTATAATATTATGTAGAGAGGAAGACATAACATAATAGTTTGGTTCATCAGTATTTTTTCCACATAAAGCTTTACAAAAGGGATAAAGATAAATAAAACAGCAACAGACATGTAAATATTACACTGAAATATGCTGTTCTTATTTAAAATAAATTTCCTTGAGCAATAAYATCTTTTTAGAAGGTGAAAATTAAACACCAAGGTTTGTTTCACTGTATAAAAGTGACAGTAGTAATTATAAAGAACCTGATGGCCTCATGTTTATATCCTGCTACTCTTAAGTTTCAAAGCAAAAATATTAAAATTTGCAATATTACCAAAAAGATGCAAATCTGTCAAATATATTACTCTGAAGTAACTTAACAATTAATTTATAAGAACCTACCATAGGCATCAAGTGGRCAGTAATAATGATTTTCTATATAAAATCTATCAAAAATCATTGGATAAAATATACAAAGCATTGCTGATAGCTGATGAGATCTGCAGTATGGCCAAAGGGAAATAAGTTGCAGATCATCAAAGTTAGCTCTTGTCCAGAAATCTCCACGAGTTCATCGATTTCATTTTACACTGGCTAACAGCAGGAAATTTCCATGACGCATCTGTCACAGCAAACCTCATTCAAGGCTGTACTTTAAGCTTTACCTGTAGCTGTAACTTGCAACAGTTTCATTTTTCTTTTGGTGCTCTGAACTGTCTTGCTGTCTGGAAGGCTACAAATATATAAAAATCTCCAGCAGAAAGACAACTTTCTCTAAAGCTCTTAGCAGAGGCCTGGAGGGAAAGGAAAAAAAAAAAAGGAAAAAAAAAAAAAACCCAAGTTTAGCTGGACTGGTAAAATACTCCTGCAGGACAATAAAACTCTATACATAAACCAGCTAATTGATTTGTTATATTATTATTATATTGTTCGGTCTCTGTTAGAAGCTGAGAATCACGGGTCTCTGACCATGCCCATAGGCAAACTTGTGGAGCTCACCGGACTCTCTATTAGGTTTAAAGCTGCTCACAGGTATAAGTGCTTGCAAGGTCAGGCTCTGAACCAGCAGCCAAACCCTGATCTTGTATCAGAGGAGTCCAACTGTTCTTTCAATTGTCTTGAATAGTGAAAGGCAAGGGACAGATCCTTTCCCAACCTCAGGCTTTTATTAAACCAGAGCCAAATTATTGCAGACTTCATTCAGCAGTCATGGGAGGAAAAATTCACCTCGAGAAGGTGCACTCAGATGAAGGGTGATGCTGTTCCTAGCATGGACATCTCGGCTAGGTCCCCCGAAGTAGGGGTGATAGCTAACTGCAGATWTCTCAGTATATGAGTGCTCTCAGTAGAGCCCAGATAGGATTTGTGTGATTAGAGATGATCGGTGTACATGTTTTGCTGTTCTGGGCCTGCATCCAACATCGGGACCTACCAGAACTGTTTCTGGTTCTTCATCTAAATTAGGGAAGGATCTGCTTCCTGCAAAAACAGCTATTCATCTAAATTAGCAAAGAGTTGTACTTCCCAAGGAAAATGCTGGCAGCTTTCTAATTCCCTCTCCMCCCGCTAAACACTGAAATGACTCCCTCTTTCAATTCGTTAGTGTTCGTTCAGTTAAAATTCTTAGGTCAGAAATAGAGCCAAGAATTTTTCACCATCCTATTCCTGACAGCAAAGGGTGAAAATTTCTCATATTGAGACAAATTGAGGGCTCATTAGAGAGCCCCAGTAGGTTACTTAGGGGTGTCTAGCTTTGCTCCAGTCCTTGTGGTGCTCCCAAAATGGAGCAGAGCAACTCTTCACTGCAAACCAGAACAAAAGCTTTGCCTTCACGGACCCAGGTCTGTGCAAAGCTGAGCACRTCCAACCTCTGCTGGGGCAGGTCTCAGTACCACTGCCAGACTAGTAGTGTTGTGGTTGGGGGTAAATACAAATGCACCTGATTTCTGTTCATGCCCTRTATAAGTCATACAGAATTGCTTTGCTTCTCACCACTACCTACRATAGCAAGCCAGTAACTTTATCCACCTTTTAATTTACGCCCATGCCACTGAAAGGTGGGCTGTTGGTTTTGCCCTTAGAGGAATTACATGACAAATGTAATTGTAACTGGCAATTCCCCACCTGTCTAATAGCAGCACAAGGAATAGTGCTACTTTTTCTATTTTTTCAACTAGTACAGCCAACCACATAACATTAATTAAATCATACTGTACCTCTGCCTCCAGTTCTTTGCATCTTGATGCGTTTATTTCCTTCTAATCTTAATTAGAAAACATAAGATAAAAATGGTTAAAACATTCTAATATTCTATATTTCACTAATTTAAAGCACCATTCATTCAACAAAGCATGCCAAAAAGTTCTCACTGTTTCAAATAAACATACTGTTATTACGGTTGATAGTGTTATTATTCTTCACTTTTTTCTCTGAAACAAACTTTGGAAGCTCCAGTCAGTGACTCAGCTCAGTTGTATACATAGGTGACAGCAGTATTTTGTTGTGCTAAAATCTAAAAATATATTACATAATTTCATAAATGCGTGTTTATGTCTTGTCTGTTAAGTATCTACCAACATAATGCTCATTCCCACTGTTCAAAATTATAAAATGGGAAAAAGAAAACAATTTCCACTGGGTTTCACACAACAACAGAAGTACATCTGAAATCAAGCACTTACTGACTCTGCTTATTGGAATTTGCCACAATGCAAGCTATAACCTTCAAAGCTATAAATAGTGCCAGGGCTCTGCAAGTGCATATATCATAGCCTCTAAATTGTAACAGGCTTTTGTTTTCCTTGAATTCCCACAGCACTCAGAGCACAGAGAAGCTGTTCAGAAGACAATGTACCACATCGYGAGTGTCTGCTCTATGATCTTGCTGCAGGAGAAGGATTGTTAAAAAATTCCACTAAATGGGAACAATCACTTTAATGATTATAAATAGCTCCACTGCCTTAAGAGGCTCCAAGGCTGTTCAGCCTGTCTGAAATAATCATTGATTTTTAAAGGATAAATAGATCTTAATAGATCAAATTAGACTGAGAACGTAGGAGTAATGCAACAGGTGACCTTCAAATACCTTTAGGTGCAGCTTTTGTCTGACTGGAAACCATGGCAGTTGCATCCGATGGCAGACCAACATAAACACCGCCATAGTTCCTAATTTAAAGAAAACAAAATAGAGAGAGATATCAGAGCTTAATGTAAATACTTCTCCCTGTCATGTCAACAGCACACAATAGTGCTACAAGAACCAAGGACACTCAGAAAGGAGGCACCTCCACAGGCCTGTCAGAGGAGGCCTCCTTTCCCGTGGCTACTGGGAAGTTGCATTTTCAATGCAGTGCCCTTTGCTACGGTGGAGCCTCTACCAGGAGAAAGAAAAGCTGTGAAATGAACTAATCTTTTTCTTACGTTTCCAGTATTTTTCATTAAATCCCAACTTTCTTCACAGTAAACCCCACCAGCACAGCTTCCTCTGCACACCCAGTATCCATTGGATGGCAGAGCCAATCTGACAGTCACRTACAACACTGAGGCTGTTTCAGCACTTCAGATAAAGCACCAAGTAGAAAGCATTTGGGCTTCTCATTCAACAAGGACTTACATCTCCCTTCCTAGCSTCACACGGAGAAAACTGCTAGGAGGGAGCAGGAGAGCGTCAGGTGCTTTCATAGCCCAGTCACTGTCTTACAGAGTGTATTTTCTGGCTCCAAAATCTCTGTGGAAGGTTTGGAGCAACTTCTATGGACCGACTGATGCACCAAGTGCTGGACTTGTGTCCTTGCCTGGAGCTCCTTTCAGAGAACCCCTTCACACTGCTCTGCTGCATTAGCCGCTACAGGATTCACGGATTCAGGCCTCCTTCAGGCCTCAGGGCTCCGAGCGATTCCGGAGGCACCTGCTGACAGGAGACCTCCTGGTGACCTCCAGCCCTGCACAGATTTCCCATGTGTGACAGCACAAACCCACAGAGCTGGTAGGAAGRCAGAGGTGACCGGCACTGCAGCCCTTCTCTTGCTGATCACCAGCAGCTGCAAGACAGTTTGCTCTTCTCTTAGCAAAATTCCTTTCCCCAGCTCAATTCCAGGGACACTGGATCTATATGGATCTCTACCGGGCTCTGCATGAGATTTCCTACTCTTTTGTAATTTCTCCATTTGCAGTGAAGGGATTAAGAGGAGAAGAGGAAGAATGCACATCTGGTGGCAGAACTCAGTGCCATGTACTTCAAATAAAGGCAGTCCTGTCCAGCACCTACCTCCTTTTGTCATCATCTGATACAGATTCTTCTGCTCTGTAACATCAAAAAACAGAAATCACATTAGCAAACAGCTTCTTTCAGATATTCCGCTACTATCCGGATAGATTCAGGGACAGGGAAAGAAGGGGAGTGTAACGATCCCAAATTCATCCAGATCATCCACTAATCATTAAAATGCTTACATGGACACAAAAAGAGAGAATGACAATTTCCCAGTCTAATGTAAAGAAAGAATTGCCTGCACCATTCCAGTGATTGGGGATACACAGGTCTTTTTAATGCAAGAGGTGTGGCATAAATCTAAGTATACTGCAGTTTTTGCTGAACGCTGTCCATGCAGTGCACACCGGTGCCGGGGCTGAACTAGACAATCTGCTGCCTCCCTAGGTCCCATCAGTCAAAGACAGGGTGAACGCCAGGCTCCTTTCTCTCTGGTCTACCTGCTCTTCCTCCAGAGAACTTCATGTGTCGATCAAAGCCTCTAAAATCATTGTTGTAAGAATAAGTGAAAATGTCCAAACAAAAGTTAATGTCCGTGCTTAGAAAAAAAGCCTTCTACAAGGCAACAGGGCTATTTTCTTCCATGCCAAGCTTTTTTGTGTGTGTGTTTGTGCCAGGAACAGACAGCAAAGTGAATTCAACAAGCTAGACAAAACAGTCCAGCATATTCTGTGGTCATCTGCCGCTGGTCACTGCACGCAGCCACTGCAGAAGAGGAGTGGTCCTCTTTCTTTGCTGAAGCCTGCACTAGTAATCAGTGTTTTTCTAAATTAACCTGGTATTTTAATAAAACAACATTTTATAAAATTCTAGGAATTCCTTATGGTGACTCTCTAAAAATTAATAAAATGTGTAAATTAAATTAATAAAATGTGTAAAAATTAATGTGTACTCTTCTGTAGATTTTACAGTAATGAACAGTGACTAACCAATAAAAATAAAAATAAAAATCACATTCACCCTAATAAGTTTTTGAAGCATGGAGGATGATCTATCACTAATAATGGGATTTTCCCATTTTAAGCCCTGGTCAAACCAATGTTTAAACATATATAAATGAAATCCTATAGTTACACATACCATAGGTAAGAATTCATACTGTAATAGCATTTGCAATCTTGAAGTTTAAAACTACCAAAGAAAGCAAAGAAAGCAAAGAAAGAGATGTAATTCTGAGCTAAAATACAGTCATTTAAATGGTGTAAAATGCTTGAATAATTTAAAAAGGCTCTAATAGAAATTGAAAATGCTATTTTCCTGCATATGAGGTTGTTGAGAACATGAATGCTGCAGCTTATGTTGAGAAGAGGTTCCTCAGACTTGCCTTCCCTCATTCAGCTATTGTCAAATCTCTGACACTGAAGATCCAGAAAATAGATTACACAGAAAACATAGATCTCAAGAGTTATCTGGGACAAAAGCATTCATTTGCCAAAGTGAGACCTGTTTGCAGATCTCAGACATGCTTTATAATGGCAAGGTTGAACAACAGCTTAACAAACCTGTTAAGTTGTTCTCTCCACTTGTTTATCTGACTTGACAGCCAGGCTTCTACACCAGGCTTCTTCTGTCTAATTAGAGTAGCTACACAAAATGAAGTAAATCAAGCTGAAAAATGTTCCTACTGCATAGTAAGAAAATCTTTGCCAGGTTCCTCTAGTCTAGTCTAGTCTAGTCTAGTGGCAAATATACCATATATGAAATGGAAAAAGGCAAATTATAGATCTCAGGAGAACTTGTTGAATGTTTCCACTGGTAGAAAAAAATACGGCTAAATGAAGCCTTTTCTGCACATTTGTGCACCATCAAATGAAAAAAATAAACAGCTAAGAAAGGCTAATCTTTTGATGCTTTTCTGAAAACCAGAAGCTTGCAAGGGGCAACAGGACAACAAAGGTTCAAACCTTCCACTCTGAGGAAAAATAGGATGGGTAGGGCTGCCCTCTGCTASTAACCATGAAAGATAAGGGAGAAAAGAGGAGCAAATAAATACGGTCTTCATGGCAGAGAGGGTCAGATCCATAACAATGATCTCATCCTTTTCCTTCACTTGGGAAAGGGATATTATCTGAAACTAAGAACAGGGAAGAAGGGAGCTTGCTAAAGGGAGTCTGGATGAGTTACTAGGTCTCCTTCAAACAGGAGAAATTTGCCTGGATGGTTCCCTATACCCTTCACAGGACACAGGGGCATAATTTTCCCTTTGCCAGAAAAATAAAGAGAAGATACCTGTACAAAAGTAAACAGGACATGAAATTGTTTGGGGGAGATGGAAGCAATCACTAAAAGACAATAAACTTCTGATGSGGCTGACTATACTTTGAGAGCCAGCCAAATTATGTACCTGAACTACATATGGCAAAATCTAGTGTGAGCCTAATAACAGTGCAGATAAATCCAGGGTTATATGTTTGAGATGATATATATTAAGTACTTACACATCTTTAGTAGTCCCTGTTGCACCTAAAATGAAAAAAAAAAGACAAGTTTACAAGACAATAGCATAATCCTCTTTAAATCAATACTGTAGAGCAAGCATTTTTCTGCCTTTGTATCCCTCCAAAACCCTTCCTTGCACATACCATAAGACCATATAGACATGGCAGCAGTCTTTCTGTGTTGTCAGAGAATAGATTTCTCATGATTGTCTCATTTATCCTTAATGATTCTCTCTGTTATCCCGTACGTCTACCAGACTTGCATGAGGGCCGGATTCTGGCTGGCTGAAAGCAGCTGGCTGCTCACGCTGCTGCAGCGGAGCCGTGCCCAGCTGCACTCTGTCAGTGCAAGAGCAACAGAAGATTAAATTCATCTCTCTGCATTCCTTATGCTTCCCTTTGCTCTCCTCCGGCAGTTTAGTCTGCAGCCGAGTCACTGCAACCAACCAAGCAATTATTCCTGAACGTCGGTTTATCTCGTGAACGTGCTGTTTGATTCAGTGACAGAGGGGGCACTATGTGTGTAAAAGGCTGCTCAATCCTGCCTGTCAGATTAAAAAAAAAAAGTTCTATAAAACAAGTAGATGGAAATAATGTAAACATTGGGGCACAACCATCCAAAGCCCCAGACATCTAAATAAATCAACCACCTCTTAATTCATCTTGCTATTTAACAAAATTCCCTACAGACAAAAGCTATAACCTAGCTGCCTGATGGCTGAGATTGATGGCTTTTGTGACTCAGCTGCTTCTTGCTGGGAGAGGAACAGTCACTCAAGCACAAACTCTTTCCTGTTTCTCCCAAGTTATTAATGCCATGTTGCTATTGCTGGTATGTCATTCAGCTGAGTAACCAGCAAATTACCCCTTCTATTAATTACATGGGCTAAGGTAGACATTAGGAAACCTTTATTTCTCATTTTCCTCTTAGCACTTACATGCAAAAGACTAGCTGAGCTCAAACTGAAAAATACATTTGCCAAATGAAAAGATTTTATGAATTTGGAGGGGCGGAGGTTTGCCTCAGGCATGGCTCTTCATTTTTTTTTGTAAAACTTTTTATTTTATTGCTGAAAAACATCTGGAAAGAGCAAACATTTTTATCTCATGTCATGCTGGTGTGTGTGATTATGCCTTCAGTGCCCTTACCTTAAAGGCGCAGAGGAAGCAGCAGACTGCAAAGCTTTCCCGCACCGTCTCCAAGAGTGGACTACTCGAATGGTAGGAAATAACAGCTATGCCTCTCTTTACAGCCTGCTCCTGAACACTCTCAATTCCCATGACTTGCCTATTCCTCCTTCTCCCAACAGCAATGCAGGCTTGTACAAGGCTGCAGACATTTCTCTGGTCAATGCTGCTTCCAGCGTCAGCAGAAACTGATTAAGTTGCAGGTACTTTTAGGTATAACAAGCTCAAGTCTTCACTTCTAAACTTTCTTCTGAGGCTCTTTGGCTCTATAGTCATTTCTACACGGTACCACAAAGAACCCACTCACCCCCATCTTAAATGAATCTGAACTGTTGCATTGCGGTACTACAGGAAAGCTGGGTCACAGATGACTCCTCCTGTAACTGAGACATCCTCCGCTACACCAGCTCRTTTATTCAGAACCAGCTTATCTTCTAAGTGCCATCCAGCACATCCAGACAAACCCTAGGTCTTGGCAACACCCGCTTTGGAAGGCCTGGCTCCATCACTGTAACTTGCAGGATTGCCTTTTTAGAAGTCTCCTCTTCAGAGGCAAGAAAAAGACAGGTCTTTCCCCAGCAGAGATGCACAGCAAAATCRCAAACTCTTGCTGAGACTTGTCAGAGAATTCTAGAAATCTGACAGTTATTGCAGAACTCTGGGAAGGGAAACAAGAAACAGAAACTATTCTTGTGCTTCGCCTGYTCTTGCATCAGAACCGCAACTTTCTCATTTTCACACATCAGCCGAAGTTCACTGCAAACACAAGCCATTCCTGCAAAAARGTCCAGGGGCCTTTTTGATTCCTTTGCCTAGTCTGTCCTGAGTTTGAGCTGGGGTCTGGGGCTCTGAGTCCTGATTTGAAAGGCATTAGTCTTAGACTAACGCCTGCCTTCTCGGAAGCCCAACAAGGAGCAGAACAAACGTGACAACTGAAACCTTAGCTGGGGTGAAGAACTGCGTGTCACACCACACACTGACCAGCCCAGCTGGCAGGCAGACTTTACAGGACGTGCACGAGTGAGGTGGGATGAGAGCCATGTCTCAGACCCACCGGCCGGGCTCCGCGCAGAGCAGCAGGCTACGAGCGCGTGGCTGGGCAAGGAAGGTGCTGCCTGCACCCCTTGCGGGGCTCCTTTCCTTGGACACCAAGAGAGCCAAAACTCAGCGCAGCTTCCTCAAATGCAACTCATGCAAAACCGCGAGAGAGCTAGCACAAAAACAAATTTGCTTCATAAGGTACAACTTCTATTAGTGTATTGACTATTAGTTTCATAAACACACACAAAAACACAGTTCTCACTTCCGTTGATGGGGTTCTGTTGATTTCARGGATGTTATTTCTCATTTTACATTTACTAGCAAAAACGGAACAATATTTTCATCCAAATTCACTTGAATAATATTAAAGCATTTGCATATAGACCTAAAAATATTCCCAGTTCGTAAAAAAGCTTCCTTGCTGGATGAGGTCTGATCTGATGAAAGTCAATTCAGCTGGCTGATCCAGTCTCTATTCATATGAATTTCTTCATTATGGAATTTCAACCCTCTATACGCACTGATTTTATTTCACAAGGGACCCAAATTATACCCCAGTTTGTACAGACACTTTTGTTTTTTTTAAGAGCAATTCATTCACCCTTACTCCTGTTGCTTCACTAGCATGTTTCTCTAACTCTTCCATGTTTGGCATGCAACACTTTATATTAGAACTACTCAAGTTTGTCCTGTCAGAAGTCCAGCCAAAGAATCTTGTTTACTAGAGATTCACAAACAGTGCATACTATTCCATAGCAGTAAGATTCAAAGCATCACGGCTACCACAGCCTTAAAAATATGACTTGGGAAAAGGTCCACGTAATTGAAAGCTTGTCCTTTTCTTCTGCTATATCAGTTTGGTCTAAAAAAAGCTAGCACTTGCCTTATAAACCTTGACAAACTTGCTCCGGTTGCTACCCCCAAAGCCTGCTTTGCAATGTGATTGATAGGCAAGCTCAAAGCAAACAGGCRGCAGCAGCCAGGAGAGACCTGGAGCATCTCCCTTACTCAGCAGGTAAGACAAATCTTGAGGAATTCCCTGTTAGGGGGAATACCTTTCTTGCCCTAAAGATCTCACTGAACACTGTGCAGGCTCGCTAGCTTTACACTCTCCTTCCTCCAGTGATTTCCAAAGCCTATGTTGCAGCAACAGGCCAGGCCAGCCTGTTGAGCTCTCCTGAAGGACCTTGCAGCTCACACAGCTACACAGCAGGGCTGTAGCTGCAGTGGAGCACTCCACAGCTGCAGGAGRAGGAGGAGAAGGAGGAATACAGCCTGGGAATAAAGGAGGCACATTCAGGCTTGCACTGTTCTGAACACAAGTGATTACAAAGAAARGAAAGAAAAACAGTCTTTGTCTAGACTGGTGCTAAAGTCCCCCAAAGAACATCATATTTAATCAGTCACAAATGAAGAAGGACAAAAAGATATCCCAAAGCAGCTTCCATTCCGTGGGATGAGTCTTGCACTTCCAAAAGAACAGCGCCYGTTACTGGCAACCCTGCAGGATTTCTTTCAGTAGTTGCAGGACAAATGCAAGAGATGGTTGGAAGAAATTGATTGCCGCAGGGAATATTCCTCTGTGTTGAGAAATACACTATGAGSCAAGGTGGAAAACGAGATCTTCAGAAAAGCATAAAAAGGGTGAGACAACAAAGCACTTATGTGAATGACAAGGATTTCATAAATGCAAATATTTATTGGATGCCCTGGTGACAAAAGATACAAAGAAGACAGAGTTACTGAACGCCTTCTTTGCTCCAGTTTTTATTGCTGTGTGAGCCCTCATAAATGCCGGGCCCTGGAGACCAGAGAGGAAGTCTGGAGAAAGAAGTCTTGCCCTTGACTGTGGAAGATCACATTAGAGATGACATAGGCAAGCCTGACACCCACAAATCCATGGGCATCAACAGGATGCATTCAGGGGTGCTGTTAGAGCCAGTGGATGATATTGCTAGTCTCCATCTCAGAAAGGTCATGGATGGAAAAAAATGAGAAGCACCTGAGGACTGGAAGAAAGCCAGTGTCACACTATTCTGCAAAAAGGGCAAGCAGCCAGGAAGCTCCATGCCAGTCAGTCTCACCTCCATCCTCAGAAAGCTGATGGAAGAGTTCATCCTGAATGTTATTTCTAAAGATGTGGAGGACAAGAAAGTGATTAGGGGTAGTCACCATGGAGTTACAATGAGATATGGCCTTCTACAATATGATGACTAGATGGGTAGATGAGGGCAGAGCAGTAGATGTTGTCTACCTTGACTTCAGTAAAGCTTTTGACACCGTTTCCCATAACATCCTCATGSGGAAGTTCAGGAAGTACAAGTGGGTTAGATGAGTAGACAGTGAGGTGGACTGGGAACTAGCTGAATGGCAGAGCTTGAAGGTTTGCAGTGCGCAGCGCAGTCTAGTTGGAGGCCTGTAGCCTAGCACCATCCACCAGGGTGAATAGTGGGTCCAGTTTTGTTCAACTTGTTCACCAGTGACCTGGATGAAAGGTCAGAGAGCACTCTGAGCAAGTCTGCAGACAACACCAAGCTGGGTGGAGTGGCCGACACTCCAGAGGGCTGTGCTGCCATTCAGAGGGACCTGGACAGGCTGGAGAGTTGGGCAGAGAGGAACCTCATGAGGTTCAACAAGGGCAAGTGCAGGGTCCTGCACCTAGGCAGGAATAACCCCAGGTACCAGTAGAGATGTGAGGGTGATGCTGGATGGCAGCTCTGTGAAGAACTATCTGGGAGTCCTGGGGTACAACAGGCTGATTGCAAGCCAGCAATGTGCCAAGAAGGCCAACAGTAACATGAGGTGCATTATGAAAAATGTCACCAACAGATCAAGGGGTCCCTTCCCTCCCACTCAGCCCTGGAGAGGCCACATCTGGCATACTGTGTCCAGTTCTGGACTCCTCAGTACAAGAGGAACATGGAACTACTGGAGAGAGTCTAGCAAAGGACCA